TCAGCAAGGGAGTCTGGCACACTAACTCCCGCTGTGCACCCATCCACTGCAGGACAGCAACTCCATCCAAGACAGAGCTCACAGTTCTTCGTTCCTTTTTGGACGGCTAAGCAGTGATTGCAGTGACAGAGCTATTAAGAAAACTGACTCTTCTCCTAAAGAAATACATGCACCACCAGGTGATTACACCATTTTCTGTTTACAGAAACACTGGAAAAAGCCAACTACTTGGACTGGCAATGACATACGTACTATTTTACTGGATGGCATCAATTTATAGCAAGCTCTGACTGCCACAAATCTGAATTTAGCACCATTGAACATGCAGTAAGCGCCAGAAAGAGCCTGTATCTATAAAAACTAGACCGCTTTTTAACACTTCAAAACATACTATTATTTTTAAGACTTCTGTTGGAAGTCTCTCAACAAACACCAGAAACTTAACCAGCTCAGAAAACGAGCCAACCTTTCAGCCTCTAAGCTTATTCAGAGCAATGTCACCCTGATGAGGCAGAGCAGGGAAGCTTGCACTCATGTGGAAAGAAACCCTTGCTAATGCACTTCATGAGCACTAATCTTCACACACTACTTGCCATGAGCATTAAAATAATGGTGTGCTTTGTGAGCCCTACAGTTTTTAACAATAAAGAGTATGAATAGTTGGCTAAATAGGTATTTGGGAAAACATTTAACAGTGTTAAAACTTTTACATCATTTAATTAGAATTGAAAAGTTCCCATATTATCTACCCTGAAAACATACACTACCCTGCTTTAAAAGCCTTTCAGAACGGTATTTTCAGCCATAATAAGGGAATGCATCCCAGCTAGACCTCACACATACTGGATGAGCTACAACCCCGATGCAAAGCGAGCTGGGTGACCACCAACTAAGGTTCACGAAGTTACCAAACACTACCTTGACAAATGCCAACTGCTGATCTGAAATTCCAGGTATAAACATGCAGGTGACATACAGGCATCACTGTGGGCTCATTATACATACAGTAATTACTTTTTTCTTTTTAGTATTTCAGACACGTTAGCAGTTTACTAAACTAGGAACTGTAACACTACCAAAATCTATTCCCTGAAGAGTTATTACTAATTTTCATTTGAAAAGGGACACCTGCAGCAATAAAATCATAAGCATTCATATGCATCTTGAGAACAGCAGTTTCCTAACACTGCTATGAATGAGCCTAGTATATGAACTGCACTGTTCAAACCTTACTTTCAACAAGAGCTTTTGGGGATTTATAAATCTACCTTCAGAAAGGAATGTGTGGGATTTGTATACTTGGCATAGATTCGGCTATTCATTAAGAGAAGTTTTGCAAACACCGGGCCTGTGCTCTCCCCACACTTATCATCTGTATCTATTTATATATACACAGTCAGTCAAAGCTACAATATTCAAGAATATCACAAATGCAGTGTTGCTATGCACATTTTTCATGATAAAGCCAGCATCCCCTCAGAAGTAAAGCGATCAGTCAAAAATAACCATACTTTTACAGTTCTCATTAACTCTGTTACATCACTTCAGACTTGGAGAGCATTCTCTTTTTGTGGTTAAACTCACTTCAAGCTCACGTACAATACGTACAATTTTTAAGAAAGATTCCTTTTTTTTTTTTTTTTTTAAACAAACTGTTTGCACTGTAAGTTTAACATCTCAGTTTATGAGCTCAGCTTCCACGGTGCCTTCTTGTATGCCCAGAATGTTTTTGTGCTGTGGAGAAGTGTTGTTATATTAAGAGTATTTAATAAGATCTGCTGCAGTTAGAATCCTAAGCACAGTAGCAGCAGCTCATACCAGAAAGTGTTTTAACATGTAGGCTCTTAAATATTCTCCAGAGTGGAGAAAAATTTTAAAGTTAACATTCCTTGTCAAAAGCCAAGAACATGAAGTTCTGGGAAGTCTTATTATAGGAGTATTATTCAAACTGCAGGTCTTCTAATTAAATAACGGTACAATGAATTAATGACCTCTTTTTCACCTTGAGATAGCGCATTTGGAAACCTACCTTAGAGTCAGGTGTTCCCAACGTTTCTAGCAGTAAGACTTTACAGACGTAGCCCACCCTCCAAGGTTGTTAACAAACCTTGCTCAGGAACTGCTGGACAGCAAACCAAGAGATGCAGTTCCTCTTCATGTCATGTCATGTCAGAACACGAACAAAATGAAATTAAAAAAGTAAAATAAACTTATGGATTTAAGCTTTAAATTCAACTCTGCACACAGAATCAGTTAAGACATTAGACAAACACAGAATATTTCTGTCGCGCCATGTTGTGGAAACAAACAAAAAACTTGAGGTTTGCCTCCTTTCTACAGCGCACTCCACCCCCCAAGCAGCAGTCTGTGGTCTGCAGCCACCAAGCCATGCGGCATATGATGTTACCACCCAGTCCTGACTGCCTGAGCACTGTGAGGCACGCTAATCACCTTGCAGCTGACAGCTCTGCCCATCTGCATGCTGGCCAACACCTGCAAGCAAGGGTGGAATGATGATAGGGAGTAAGAAACAGCACAGACACAGTGCAGGGGTGGGGGGAAGACTTTGAGAAAAAGACGTAAATTAAATAGAACTGTAGAATTAATTAAATAGAACTATCCTGGACAGGTTTGTCCAATACACATACAGAACAAAAGCTAACAAACTATAATTATTTACCACTCTTAATCAGGTGCTGCTGCACAGTAACTGGTTCAGTGCTGATTAGACATTAGACACTGACCCTCTCCTTCAGAGGCACCTGAAATCTAGAGCTGATCAGTGTAACTGCTTGTTCCATAGTAAAATACTACGATTTGAAAAGAATAAATACCACTGGTGAAGCAGAGGGATATGGATACAGAACTCAGGCTTGCAGAGGTTAGAGAGATGAGGATACTATGGCAGAAAGTTAGGGTCATGATGCTCTGGTTTTAATAAAGACAATAGGGACATGGAGTTCGGAGGAATGTACAAACCCACAGACGGAGGCAAACGCAGCTTTTAGTTTGACTTGTGTTTAAACTCTGTACAGCAGCAGTACACAAGATATGCCATTCCTTGGAGCTCATTAATATGAGCCATTAATATGCCATTCCTTGGTGCTAAGAGGGACTATCACAAGCTAGTGCACAGCATACATATGTTGCCTTGGATCTTGAAAAAGTGACACATTTAAGAAAGTTGAAACATGAAACTGTTCAAGAAAGTTCTTAAGAGGAAAAAAAAAAAAGGCAAAGTTTTACTGGTTTAAAGTTAACATAACGAGTCCCCTTTTACCATTTAAGGGTCTAGAGAAAGAATCTGAAAAATACAGAAAAAAAGGCAAAAAGTTCACAATTTCATAAAATAACTGAGGTAAGGACGTCCACTACATCATTATTGTTACAGGATAACAGGAGTTGTCAAGCTCTCACCCACTGCAACTTAACATACAACCCAGAACTGTTACTAACAAAGCAGTAAAAACATCTCCAGCTGTAAATATGAGTTTAAACCACCACCTCTTCCTCACAGAGTATGAGGAAGAAAAAAAAAAAAAGAAGAAAAAATAAAAAAAAACTTATCCAAGGAATTTCTTTTAAGCAAAACAAAAAAACCACCACTTGCAAGCCCGCAAGAGGACACAGGGTGCCTTCCCGAGACAGGCAAAGGCGCTGGGGTCTCACCACCAGGCAGCCCTCAGAGCTGAGCAGAGGGGAAGGGACAAACCACGGGGCCTCTCCGCCGAGAGGGCGGACATAGGTGCCGCCAGGCCTCGAAGGACTCCGGCCTGGAGCGCCCGGCCCTGGAAAGGATCCGGATCCTCTGTTTTCCCAGGAAGCATGAGCATTTTTACAGGTGGGCTTACCTAGTGATTCAGACTGCTTTCGGAGTTATTTTACTACCTCAGAAATCTTTGTGCAATACATAAGCTGGCATACGCAGTCACCTAAAAATATAGGTATGTGTTGCGTACCGAACCAGGTCCTTGCAAGATTTCCTCCTAGGTCACTCACTGAAACTGTAGCACAGGACCACCACACGGAGCAAATTTTGAGAACACTTAGAAACAACAGAGCAAACGCGACACTTCACAGGAAGCACTGTACTTCCCCACCCCCGTACGCCGCACCGCGAGGCCTCCCCGCGCCTCGAACCCGC